AGTTTTACGGGTCCTGGTTTGCAATCCGCCCAGCCAATCAGAAATGGGAACCTTTTTCTCCCATGAAAGTACCTGCTCTCTAGCAGGGACTAAAAAGGGGGTGAAAAGGTTCTCATGAACTAAGTTCTAGTTCCGGATTTTTTTGGAGTGAACGCAACATTTCCAGAACTATCGGAACTATACTGGGAAAAGTAATCCGGTGTGAAAGCGCCTATTAAGTCAGTGTGCAATCCAAATACTACGGTTCATCTGTGTTAAATCTATCATTGGCAGACGTGAGTTGGAAGCTTTGCCACTGTGCCTTTAGGGCTTCTTAAGCTCATAACCTATTGGAAATGATGGTGCAGGGCGGGTCTTCTCCCTGCCCTAGCTACCCTGTACTGTCCACCCTGAGGGCTCTATGATGCCTCTGTGGCTGCAGTGATATAGTCCGCTCCTGCAGGGGTGGGTGGAGGCGTGCTGGCAAGACAAGTGGAGAGAGAGGGAAAGGAGGCTGAAAGAACTCTGTGTTCCTTGAAGCTTTGCTTGTGAGCTTCATTTTTAGGTAGTTTAAATTTAATACCTATAGTTTCCAATTTACTGAAATATGAGTTTTTCAAACAACATTGATATGAATGATAAAAACCACTAGGTTTGGTACACTATGAACCACAGCAATTACAGTTCTGGTAACTCATCAAATGTACATTTCTCCGTTGTTGGGAAAATTAAGGATTTCTGATAACAAATTGGGAGTTTTCTATAAAACAGTGTCAAAGCACAGGAAATAACCCAATTCTCTCTTCAGTGAACATTATTTAAAAGGTTGTAGATCAAAATAGAGGTGGGGTTGGTGCCTCAAGTAATTTAAATGTTAGTCTGCTCATATTACAACATTCCTATAATAAGATATGAGCAACGTGACAGCTGAACATGTAACGACAGTTATCAAACTGAGTGCTAAGAATTACTGTAAAAGGCCAGCAATTTGTGTAATAAGGTCTAAAGTAAGACTTCGCACTGTTTGAGATGAGATTACACATAATGCATCAATACCTAGATTGATTCCAAGGCTAACTTCCATGAAAAATATGATGCAATGTGGTTTCAGAAATGAGGTCCTCATTTTGAAGTGTGTCACTTCCTTTGTGACTATTGTCACTCATCAGTGTGCAAGTCAAGTGAAATAGTCTCAGCTACAGACAGGAGCTGGAGAGGAGGGCAAGCCATCTGTAGAGGTTACATCCACTGAGGCAAAGATAGACCTGTGTAGATTATTATGGAAACTACTGCAATAAGGCATGGGCAATGAACATGTCATGATAAACTAGAAAGAATACTTCCATATAAGTTATGAGGCAACATTTCAGGATACACATGCACATGTGACCAGCAAAAACTACAAATCAATCCTTTCTGTGGATGTTTTAAATTAAAAGCTAGGTTTTATTGGTAAACATGTAGTTAAAGAAGGGATTAACTATGGTTTAGAAAACCCTATGAATAAGTGAATAGAACATGTATGTCTGATGTTGTACTGAGGGAATGACTGCTGAAGTAGTTTACATGGTGCTAGGTTTACAGACAAAAAGATTGTTTTTAAATGGACAGCAAAGTAAAACAGGAGCAGATCAGAGAACAGGGATGTTTTTATAAAATATGATAAACAGGTGAATAAAGCTTAACAATTGGCCTGGATTTGTGCCTGTGTCCAGCCTTGTTTGGGTAATATTGCAACAAAACGAATTGACTATAAATAATGTAACTGTTCCTGTGATTAGTACATTACTGCAATGACATCATAGGGAATGACTGCTCAAAGCAACACAGCGTACCTTTTAACTGTCTGTCTACCTAAGCACATTCATCAAATCATTGACAGATTAATCAACAACAAATAAATCATTAGCTGTAGACTATTTCACAACAAGAAATATCTTCATTTTGTTGGTTTTATTTAAATGGAAGTCCCTTCGTAAAATAAAATTACACAAACCTATATACATATAAGTTGTTAAAAGTGACATTCAATTGCAAAATCAAACTCAAATACAATTGAAAGTTATTTACTAGTAAGAAAAACAGATTTAAAGACATTGTCTTTCCATATGATAACGATGCAGGGTAGGCCCAAAGCCCACATTCGTAGATGACTCAGCAGGGCTGTAATGACTAAGGTTCACAGAAGTCAATGTCTGTTATCTGTCATGGAATAGAAAAAAGCAACCCTAATCATTCTGAGTTTGTTCAGGGCTGCCAGAAAACTATTTATATAGAAACAGCCATCTTTGCTACTTTATACTTTGTCGGAAAATAACTAGCTCTTATGAAGTTCATGCCACAGTTTTGAGAACAACCTATACATATATCTTAAAAATAATATAGATATATAAGGTTAACAATCCTTAAATATTTTTGAGAGATTAAATAAAATAAATTATAATTTGGTCATTGTTGTCATAAGCTAATAATCGAACGGTACATCATATGATTGTAGGCATGGCAAGAAATGATGGTCCTAAATGATTTATGATGTGACATTGTTTGCTTCCGTATGTGTCCCAGTGGATTTTTAGTTATCTTTTATTTAATATTTTCTCTCCTGTCCTTGGTGATAAACTTGAATCTCATTGAGGCATCGTGGGCCACACCCTGCCATATCCAGTTGACGCCCATGACCAGAGACCACATGTGCTTTAATTCTTCAAAGCCCACAATCCTTTTGATTAACAGAACATGGCTTTGAAGGATTTTCAAATGACTCTGGTGGTAGTGACTGATTGAGCCATGGAGTGTAAATCAGAAAGCTTAACACAACACAAACACAGTAACTGATTGGAAAGCAGCCACTCCCTTAAAAACACAATAACCTGTCAATAAGGCCGTGGGCGACAAAACTATTACTTTGTTTAAATTAGACTTTTCTAGACAGTGAAACCTGAAAATCGAAAAAGACTTAAAAACTGGAGGTAGTGACAATAATTGGACAAATATGGATGACAGTACCAATGCTCTTCAGGCATGCTGTTATTGTCTGGGACTGTTATTATGAAGACACAAAAGGGCAATGCGCCTTTAAGAGGTGCTCCCTTCACTGGCAGTTGCCCAGTAACAATGCATCTGCAGTGCAGAGCATCGCAACATAACGCACCGATAACGCTTTGTCACCCCAAACCTTGTTCTTAAATAATATGTCATGTAATGTACATTTACTTATTAACAAACATACCCATCTCGTAGAACATGACGCAAGACTATATATATATATATTTTTTTCTTTTCTAAATTAGCATTGCTAGTTACGCAGTCTCCGTCGGATTAAATAGCTGCTCAGTGGGGACCAGTGTCGACCCAGAAATGTGTTTCGCTGCTTAGCTGGCCGAATACACTGTTCAGTTGAATGTCTTGCCTCATGCTCTACATGCTCTATAGACGGGACTGAAGCACCACTTATTAGCAAAGCGTCTTAAAACTGACAATTTTATAATAGACATTTCGCTCGGCATTATAACCTCAATAGAAGAAAGCGCGTGTACCAGGGGCGGGCCAAAGCTATGGGGCATGATTGACAGCCATGTGTTGGGATAAGTTCACTACCACAGGTGTTTCGCATTAAAGCTAAATAAGCTTAAACAATCATGCCAACAACAGACCCAATATCATAAAATGTTTTTACAATACAATGCCTTCCGTTCTAAATTGGGGTATGGCGTTATGGTATTGACGCTACATTAGACCTATGCAATTATGAATGCCTTACGTTTAAACGACACATGGTTAAAAAAAGAATTAAGGTTAAGTTTAAATTGACACTAGTCTAGCTAACTTAACGTTAGACTGTTTCTTACCGGATGGTTTTGATTCTTTGGCAGCAGAATTTTGTCCATCGGCAATCCCTTGCGACGATGATATCTGGGCGGACTGAGTCATTGGATCCATTTTACTGTAGTTTCAAAACAACTGCACAAGGGAGGTAAAATGCCTGTCGTCTCGATATGAATCGTCGTATACTGTCCTTTAAAGACGTATATTTCGTCTGACTTTCCTTAAATTTCCCCAAGAGCGGGACTCGGGTCTGCACCTTAACGCAACGTCCGAGCACTGACAGATCAGCAGAGATGGAGGGAAACAAGGAGGACTATGGAGGAGGGGAAAAAACATGTCGGGGTGAGACGCGTTCAAAGTCTCCGTTGAGTCTCCTATATGTCAACTGTCAACTGCTACATATGAGTTGCAACTGCGCTAATGTACGATAACATAACACCATCAAATTATTTTATTACCACCACTATTTTGCTTGTCCTACATCCGCCCTACATTCAAGGAACTTTGTATCAGTGAACTGCCATGGTTCTAGTAATTTTGTTGTGAAGTTCACGCACGATGTAGAAATACCCCACAGCACTTGAAGGCAGCACGAGGAATATTCCTGAACACGGTTCTTTCTACCTGCTCTGAACAAATGTGGGATTTTGCATTTTGAACAATAACAATTTTAGATTTGGGATGCTACATTATTAGAATTTGAATAAATAATACCAAAATATGAGTGTATAATAAATGTGGGATAAAGGTGGAGGATTATGGGTTGAATACATTAACTAGAGTTTGTATGAGTTATTTGTAACAAAGCCAGCTATGTCCACGACCACGTTGATTATATTGCTTTTAAAAGCAATATAATCAACGTGGTCGTGGACATAGCTGGCCCATATCCGTTAAATTATGAAGATGTAACGATTTAACGGATATGGGTACACTTTTATAAGGGTCCAAATTGTGTGGATTTTACTGTAGCTTGTTTTCCATTATGCAATGGTTACCTTTGTTCCATTTTGTAGCAATATATGACATGACGGCTCCATGACGCCTTCTGCTGGCAGAGTCTACGAACAACACATTATGAACTACATTTCCCAGCCTACACGATGGGAAACTGTGTGCGCAGTGCTTAAGATCTACAACCATAGGGATGGGTCTATCAGCGCTCGACCGCGATTGGCAGCGTCCGCCATATTGTTATAAGATCTACTCCGTTACGCAAACGTAGAGACTGGCAACACACTGCAAGTGAATTTCAGGCAGACTGAACTGCGCGGCAAAAGAAGGGGGACACAAACAAAAACATGTGGATGAGGCGGTGAGAATACGGGTATGTTATCTCCTACACATGGTTTATTTCTCAGTTACTGAGAGTTTAGAGCAAGTCAGTATTGCGGCAGGTTGTGATGATGTATTTCGCTAGAGTCCTAGGGGGATACGCGTTATCCAAAAGTGGTGAGTTTAGCTAACTAGCAGATCGTTAGCTTGTTAGCAGCTTCTGACAACAGCCGTCATTCATCCAGCTGCTCCTGAGCTGTTTGTCACAGTGTGTGGCCCGCTTTCTGGTTCGGTCCATTTGTGTACTTTATCTTACAAGAAATTCATTCAGCAAACTAACAGTAGTAGCAAGCATAAATGGTTAGCTAACGTTTACTTAACTTAGTTAGTTAGCTAGTTAGCCTGGATCAGTACACCCGGCTTGCAAATGAATGAATCTATCAGTAACAGAGTATTCCTGGTCGGTTGTAAATACTGCAGTAGTACTGCGTTTCTGGTCATGCGTGGACCTCTCGAAGCATTAATCGGAAGAAAGAATGTAGAAGAGCATCCTTTTGTAGCTTTGAATTGAATGTGGCTACATCTGTAGCAGTAGGAGTGCCCCGCCCACCAAAGCGCCATATAGCCCATTTTAGCTGCGTTGATGTAACCAGCATTATGCAACCAAAGCTGCTCATCCCCGGGTCAGTGTCTAGCTCTGTGTCTGCAGCAGGTAGAAAAACATTGTTATTATCATAATTATTGCTCACATTATTAACAGAATGTGTATACATGCAGATAAGTGTTCACAGTAGATTCATATAATATATGACAACATAATTGATAAATACTAATAGGCTTTTACATTTTTTACAGCAATATTGCCTTTTTATAGAACTGTGGTCGTGTATTTTCAGCCTTTTGTGCATTTTTTTTAACATGTTATAGTATTATAAGTAATAACTGGCAAAGCAACAGTTGCATAGAAAGTCTGAAATGTTTAACATATCCCATGTGTTGACCCGAGCAAACAATGAATGTGCCTCACTAAGTATTGAATGATTACCTGTATGTAGCCTGTTCCTCTGTACCATAGATCACCATTGTTGTAAAATATTATTATTTTTAACCAGGGCCGGTTCTAGCCAATTTGCTGCCCTAGGCTAGATTTTACAGTAGTAAAGATCAATAGAGTATCCAAGGAATACACAATAGAATAGGCTATATAAAGAATACATGAAAAATCTCTTAAAAAGACAAATACACTACAAACAGAAACGTCCCCCAGATCTGGTGCCCTAAGCGACCGGCTATGCCAAAAACCGGCCCTGTTTTTAACACATCAATAAGCCACTCTGTTAAACTGTGACAGGGCCCTTTATTACCATGAAAGCACATACTGTTAATTATTTGGACTCAATCCCACATACACATCCTACAGCAAATACAAACTCAATGTGGTTTAAGCCACAACTGAAAATAGTTCCCAATAAATGCACTATTTGACAAATGTTTGCTAAAAAAACTACCATGGCCAGTGCTGAGCTGGAGTTGAACTAACAGCTGTGTCATATTCAGTTCTGCAGGTGAGGAGAGCATCTGAGTGGACTGATTTTGGAACATCATGGGTTTGCACTCAACCCAGAAGAAGCACTTCCCCCTGCGGGGGATCGATGGCGTGGTTCAGCTGTTTGATTCTGAGCTCCACAAGCCAGAGCCAGACCTCGCCCTTCTCTCCCTGGTCCTGGGATTTGTCGAGCATTTCCTAGCTGTGAACCGGGTCGTCCCCATCAACGTGCCAGGGGTCCGGTTTGAACCACTGGAGGCGGACTGTCCCAACTCATGCTTCCCCACTGTGGAACTGGGCATGATCTCTGCACTGTACGAGCGCTTCACGGCCCAGATCCGTGGAGCGGTGGACCTCTCCCAGTACCGGAGGACGGGTTCAGGGTCCAGCAGGGAACTGGTAAAGAAAGTGTCTGATGTGATCTGGAACAGTCTAAGTCGTTCTTACTTCAAAGACCGGGCCCACATCCAGTCTCTCTTCAGTCTCATCACAGGTAGGAATCAGAATCAGAATTCACACATGAGGGAAATGTACATTGTTACAGCAAAAGTGAAGATGGAGTCAAAAAATAAAACATTATTAGGTAAAGGGCATGCACATAATGTTTCAAGTTATTCCAATTCAAAATATACACATTCGGTAAAAAGGTAGTAGCAGTATTTTTGAAATGAATTAAAATGTAAAATTGTTATTTGGTAGAAGCTAGATAACAGAGGTAAAATGATATATTGCACATAGTACTTACTTACAGATTATTGTTACATATTAACATTGTAAAGCGAAGAAGGCAGCGAGTAATTATTATAATTTTAACTAGGTACATATTGCACATAAGTCTGTTTTTAGTTTTTTACATTATTGCACATTGGTGACATAACTTCTTAAGTATTACTTAAACATTTGTTTTATGAAGATGTTTTTAAAGGCTTAAAATAACTATTTTTTTAAATTGAAACAGGTACCAAACTGGACAGCTCCGGTGTGGCTTTCGCAGTGGTGGCAGCCTGCCAGGTTCTGGGTCTAAAGGACGTCCACCTGGCGCTGTCTGAGGACCACGCCTGGGTCATTTTTAGCAAAAACGGGGAAGAAACGGCCGAGGTGACCTGGCACGGGAAGGGTAACGAGGACCGACGAGGACAAACAGTCACAGCAGGAGTCAGTGAGAAGGTGAGGTGTATCAATCAAATTAATAGTAATTATCACTTTCATTTGGTTTTATTCAAATGTATAGCATGTTAATTCTTTTGGGGGCAATTCTGTAAGATTATTCAACATTATTTCCTTTCTTAACTCAGAAACACAGGTCATTATTTATACTATATGCTTTTTAAATACTCAAACCCGAAGGACAAAAGTTGATGGGAAGACGACACAAGTGTTAAAGAAAATCCCAGAATTCACATAGTAATTATTATATATATTCCTTGGACAGCTCTTTGTGAAACAAGAAATGATCGTTAATGACATCATTTTCAGTAAAATACAGCATGTGCTTACAGGAACTTGATTTTAATTTCCCCTAGTGGCTGTATTTAGCACTGATGACTCAGTTTTATGTCACCAAAACTATCTAATGTCTAAGCCAGGCATTGTGACTCATTTTTGAACCGCTTGGTAATGTAATCAGTCAGTGTAGCAGATCAGTTTTTTTTTACAGGAAGTGAATGAGAAGTTGATAATTTAATGTCCCATCGGAATTATTGTTGCTCCTTTTTATTTAAAGGAGACCGATCATGCAAAATGCACCTTTTTTGTTTGTCTTTTATATAGGGATGCACCGAATATTCGGCCACCGAAAATTATCGGCCGAAAATGGTTAAAAAGGCCCTTTCAGCCGAAAGGGTTCTAGCACCGAAAAAATATCACCGAATGTCAGAGAACAGGGTTACGTTGGTAAGCTAACGTGTTGTTGTGATGACGTAATCAAAACGCGGCGACAAGCACGGCGCGCGACCATGCTCGCGGCTGGCTCACAGCCAACATGTCTGCCGCTTGGAGATATTTAAAAATATCAGACAAAGAGGCGCGGATTGCGATTTGTAAAACGTGTTCAGCTGACATTTCTCGAGGGGGTGTAACTGCAAAGACTTTCAGCACTTCAGGATTACTCCACCACTTGAAATCAAAACACCCGGACACATATGCGGAGTAAGATCAAATCACAAGCATTGACAGCGAGAGACTGTTCAGCGCTGCCTCTCATGTGCTTGATGAGAAGAGGAACAGACTTATGGCTGATAAAGCAGAGAAGCTAATGTTCATTAAAAAGAACCTCCCACTTTTCCTTAATAAGTAGACAAGGCTGGCTTATCATAAGCTTATCTAGTTCTACATGTCTACTCTATACCCACTTTCCTGAACAATTTTCATTGTGAGTTATAATTCACCATCTCAGGTTATCATTAGGGGGAAATGACAGCAGCACAGTGTTCAATATATTGTACTTTCGGTATCTAAATGATACAATGTTGTTTACATTGCTCATGAGGACAGACCACCTTATTTGCAGATTCTTGAAATTGTAATTTAATTTGTAATTGATTGTGGATTTTGTATCCAGTTTTCACTTTATGTATCTTTATACAATGTTTACTACTTTGCTTATGAGGACAGACAGCCTTATTTACAGATTCTTGAAATTGAATTGTAATTTCATTTGTAAATAGTTACATTCATGTGGATTTATCCAGTTTGCACATTTGTATGCATGCACTTATAGGTGCATTTGTTGTTGTTGAAGGCCTGGCTGTTACAGTCTTTATTTACACTATTTTGTTGTAGGCCTACTGGCCTAGATGTTTATGCAGTTTTAAAGCACCTTGGCTTTGTTCTGAATGCACTTTGTTGTAGTTATCCTACAGAGAAAAGAAAATGCACTTGACTTGGAATTACGGGTCCGTTTTACACTCGCGCCGCGCGCACCTGTAAAATTCACACACGCGCACGCTTCACGAAGGCGGTAATACAAAGATAAACAGACGGTCGTGTTCTTTCTGTGTATGTAGTAATTTCCGAAGTTACATAAGTCATAACATACCTCTCTCCTCCACCACCTGTCAGTGTTAGGAGGTGCCAGGTCCCCCATACGGGGGGGGCCCTTCTAAACAAAAATGAAAATTATATTTTACGAAGTTAGACCAAGTGAAACTCGTGTTGTTACTGAATCTCTGATCTAGATTGAGATTGTCAGGGTATACTTTTTCTGCAAAATGTAAAATTATTAGTTTATTAACTTGTATGGTTATTTGATGGTATCGGTTATTGTGTATACGATTGAATAAAATAAAACAAACAAGTATAATGTAAGTGAAAGTAGTCCGTTAAAAAATCAAATTTATAGTCCACAGTTTTCTCGTACCGTGATCATACTTACACGGTTTACAAGGTGAAGCAAGTGACGGGGTTCACTGAACTTCATAGAACCCAAGACGGTGGGAAGTACGTCTAGGATCTAGAGGAGGCGCAAGCGCAGCCGCAGGACTGTCGAGACAGCCCACAAGAAAAGGGGTATACTGGCGCAGCGACGTAGAAATAGGGAATGTTAGATCGATTCAATCGATCTAACATTAAGTAAGAATTGACATCCGAAAATTAGTTTCATAATTAATGAATTAGATTTACATTGTTGGAGTTGTAAAATTTAATATTATTGAATGTAAAATACCGCAATACTGAAGTAGAACTCCACTAACACAGGGTTTATTTCAATACAGACGAAGTGAACGACGACAGACAGGGAACCAGGTCCGTCAAAAGGAAGTCGAGACTTTTACTGTCCGAAAGGGCGCATAGCCACCGAGCTTCCAACGGCGCTCGCGATCCCCCGTCGTGAATATAAGAAAATTATTTTTTTTTAAAAAAAAATAAAAAAAAAATTAGACGAGACCCCGAACGCGGGTAGGGGGAGCGGATCGTCGCCGCGACGACTTTGTATATCCCCTTTGTGACGTCACATACATGTTCCTTAATGTGTTACGTATCCGTTCACCCCAAATAAATACTTGGTGTCGTACTTGCACTTGTACATTGCAACGTACGGCTGATTGTTGACTTCGGACAATAGAATTGTGCAGTGGCCCACCCCGTGGTCGATGCCACCGGACGTTTCCTGTTTGAATTAGTATACTCTTACTTAGATGTCATGGTCTAACAAAGCCCCATGGTACTACACGAAGCCCCCGGCAGAGAATGGTTACTGCAGTACGTAACATGACGTAACACTAACCGACATGCACATTAAAGGGTTTCCCACGAGGCCCCCGTTTTAGTGTAGTACTAGATGGTCTAGTAGCTGCTTGGCTTAACTTAATAAGGATACGAGGATCGCACCACTTCTTACAAAACACTTTTTGTAAATTGTTTTTGTACTTTTGCCTCGTTACCGACTGCGGTTAACCGACATGCCGTTGAGTTCTCCTGGTAGTATGTGTCAGTTTAAGGCTTTGTAAATTTTGTATCGGATGTGAAGTAAGAAATGAAACAGGCAATAATATACATCTCTACTTGATGGTTAGAGACTTTCCAGTTACACAAGTAAAACTACCGACAGAAGACTCACCAATTTGTAGTGATTTACTAAAAGACTGAAGACTGACGAAACCATATATTAATTGTTTATTCCAAATGATAGTGTCACGTGCTCTAACACGTTTGACATTTCGAGAATGCGTAGTGACATGTGACATTTGGTTCCGCCAAAACGGTAGTGGAATGAATGACTCCGGTCAGGTGACCATTAAAATAATGTCGTACAACTATTTCATGGTAGAATATAGACGAGGGACTAGAGAGCCATTTAATCTTTCATGAATAACGGACTCTAGAGTACGACACCAAAATAATTTACACTCAATCCTTGACAAAATCCATCCCACGTGGCTTACCCTTTTTAAGAACCGGCTTCTATGCTTATCTTTGTCAACCGGCTTTTGGCTTACCTTACTAATTATCTTATATATATATATACATATGTAAAA